TAGGAAGAATTTCCTAATAAGATGAATCAACATAGTTCAAAGAAATTTTTGAACATTTTAGAAAAAATCCAAGACATTATTTTAAAAAAGATTTGACGTTTTTGTAACAAGTCATAGGAGGAATTCATATTCATTGCAACTCACCTAAGAATTAGATAGTTTTATCGTAAGGGAAAAAAGATTACGGAGTATTAGATTTTTTTAGTGCAAAAGAAGATGAGATAATTTCATTGCATATAAGGAATTTACATGAATCAGGCCCCAAATATAATGGAAAATCGCCACATGTGGCTAAAATCACGGAAAACTAACCAATTGGAAATTCGCCCAAGTCAATTATCCCTTTTACCCTTTCCTATGCGTGAAAAAAATTAGATAAACTCCTTTGATCGGACGCTCACCATTCATTCTCATTTCTTTCATAAGATTGCATTCTCACTGGAACCGATATATATATATATATATATTTATATATATATATATATATATATATATATATATATATAAGGGGTGATTCATGTGAGAATGGTGTTTGGTGAAAGAAATAAGAATAAGTATCATCCGTTTGATTAGTGGCACTGGACGATCAAGATTTAGTAGTGCATTTAATGACTCAAGTAATTTATTTTTGTAAGGTAATCACGAGAGAGCTAATAATTAGGAAGAGTGAGTTAATAGGGGCATAAGAGTCATATGTTAGTCTAGTCCAATTTTGATCCGGTAAAATTGCATCCCCCATTCCTCACCATTTGCGCGATTCCTCAATTGGGATAAACTATTACTCCCTCTGTCCCAAAAAGTTTTTCCTGTTTCATTTTTTGCGCATCTCATAAAACATTTCTACCGACATCTAAAATGTCTAAAATTTATAACATTTCTTCTTTATAGTGGGTAGAAGTTATTTTGAAAGTTTTTTTGGGCGGGATAGAAGTGTTTTATGGGATGCGCAAAAAATGAAACAGGAAAGACTTTTTAGGACGGAGGGAGTATTATATTTAAATATTAATTTCATTTCATTTAACTATATTTTAAGAAAAGAATTTTCATTTTCATTTTTTCAAAGTTATCACACGAAGATGCATTTTAATACCCAGAGTCCCACACTTACATATGTAAGGCAAATAATGTATGGTGATTGCCCAGTTGCCCACATATGTATTGTGAATTGTCTTTTAGATTATATTAAAATATTATTATAGGCTTTTTAATATTTCACTTTTCTGGATCAGATTTATTTAATAAGAATGCAGTGTCATGGTCGATAAATGCACTGTGATGGTGGATAAATTCACTATAATTTCACTTTTTATATTTTTTCCTATTAATTTGTGACTTAGTGAATAATGACTTCTCAGTAACTTTGTATGTGATAAAAAAGTTTTAGAATGTATTTCATTCATAACAAGTGTTATACAAATTTGTGAAATAATTTACCTTTGCGGGACTCGAACCCACATTTGTAGTACTACTACTCCCATTTGAGCTAATATGCAATGAGTTCTTTTTTCAAAGTGACTCTCATCATGCACTTGAACCAACTAAATACAAATTTTAGTCTTTTAAAATTGACATCATCCAACATATTTTAAACTCATATTCAAATGTATCACAGAATAATTTAAATGCATCACAATTTGCTAAAAAATTGTGAATTAGAATTAGAATGTATATATGCATCATATTTGTGTCGGGAAAAGTTCACCAGTAGGTTCATCTATCAACTTTGGTTCTGAAAATGTACAGTAACAAAATTCATTATCTTTTACCTTGGTTCTAAGAATGCATTATCTTTTCATCCAAATGCATTATCTTTTAATGCCTGTAACGATTCATAAACCCGAGGTAATTAACAGTGAACAAATAAGGCTCCAATATTTCAAATAGGTTTTAAATCCCGTAGAAGTAAGCAATTCACTATAAGCATTAAATCAGCAAGAACACCACAATTGCAACCATCACAAAGGTGAATGAGCCCACATCAAACACATGAACTATTCACAAATCATAATGCACTACAAATTCTATATAATGCACTAACAATTCTTTATAATGCACTAAAATACATATTTTGGTGATTCAAAAATTATGGTTATGAAAATAAAAATTAGAAAATGATTTAAGAAATTTAGATTAAAAATGACAAATCTGTAAATCATAGATGCACGAAAACAGACAAAAAAATATAATAAAGATGAATGTCAAGCATGTAATTGATGCAAAACATATAAAAAATAAAATAAAAAGTGATTGGTAGCGCAATAGTTAGTTTAGATCAGACCACTAATGAGAGTGAAATAATTTGAGAAAGCTTATTTACCTAAATGATGAGGACGATTGAGAACATGAAATAAAACATACCTGATTGTGTTGTAGAATCTATTAGAATTTATTTCGTTTGAATGCTTCAAGATGTTTGAGAATGATTTCTATGTTAATGAAATTAACCAATGATTTGGTGCAAATGGAGAAATCGAAAGAGTAAGAAGATGAGATCTTGCGTAGATCTGAAACGGAAAGAGAGAAGAGATAGTGCGCTACAGAGTTACGATAAAAAAGGATATGTACGACTAAGAAGAGAAAACCCCAAAATGCCCAAACCGCGAGAAGAGAGTAGGTTGCGGATCTAGCCAGATCTAACGGTCTGGAGTCATTCTTATTTCTTTCATAAGATTTCATTATCACCGGAACCAAAATCTATATATATATATATATATATATATATATATATATATATATATATATATATATATATATATATATATATATATATATATATATGGTAGATGGAGTATTAATAAAATACACATACATATATCACCCTTTGGGACCTGTACCAAAAAAAAATCAGATCAGTTTTTTTTCCTGAAAAACAAGGGATTTGTAAAGAATATCAAATCCACATACAAAGTATTAGTTAGTTCAGAGTACTTATGTATAATTAAGGTTAAATATTAAAAATGTTCAACCCATCAAAGTTGACTAGCTACCACCGCTGCTGCGAATTCGTTAGGGATGGCAATTCAACCCGAACCCGAGCTTAACCGACCCGACCGACCACTAAAATATCCGAACCCGACCCGAAATTTTTTACCCGAACCCGACATCGGGTCGGGTCGGATGTGGATTTATAATTTTACCCGACCCGACCCGAACCCGCACTCGACCCGACTAAAAACCGAATATTTTATTACATAAAAGCCTATCTATGAATATAATAAACACTCCGTATAATTTTTTGGCAAAGTGCTACTATATCAAGTATGTTTTTTATAATCATTTTTATAATTCCTTAATAAAAAATGAGACATAAAAAAGAGACATGAAAAAAATTAGATTTAATCATTTCAAAATTATTGGGATACGTCGAATTGATTATTGGTTAAAAGTCGGGTTCGGGTCGGGTTCGGGTTTCGGGTTGAAATGTCGGGTTCGGGTCGGGTCGGGTTTTTAGCTTAAAAGTTCGGGTTTCGGGTCGGGTTCGGGTTTCGGTTTTAAAAGTCGGGTCGGGTTCGGGTATAGTACTATCCGACCCGAACCCGACCCGTTGCCATCCCTAGAATTTGTCTACATGCGGATGCGGTTCAAATTATTTGAACATCCCTCCCTCCGATCCCTCCTTCCATAATTATGTTTTTATTCATTTTTTCTCACTAAAATTATTTTTAAAAAAATAAAATTATTTCATTGATATGTAACCAAAATAGAGATAAATAATATTAAATATAAAACCTTTTATAAAGTAAATTTCAGTGCGATGCATCCACATACTTCATGTACGAATGGTAGAAACATACTTCCCCCGTCCCCAATTTGATTACAATTTTTTTCTCTCTTATCTCAATAACTTTTATATTTGTTTATGGGATTTTATTAAGTATTTAATAAAATAAAATATTTTTGTCATCTCTTGTTTTGCAAAACTTTTGATGTAGTTTTTTAATATGTAATTTTTATTTCTTATCGATATATCGATTTATAAATAAAATGATTTCTAAAAGTGAGATATTTCTTATCATAAATCCCAATTTGTAATCAAATTGGAAACGGATGGTGTAGAAGGATATAAGGGGGTGTAGACTTTGGTGTGAATCCTGGTGTAAATCTAACATTTTTCAATTGATTTTATTTTTAGACCTTCTAAGTACAAAAAAAAGCTTATTTGATTAAGAGGCTCTTTTTGAAATATGCTATCAGTCCTATCAGTGTGAATGTTTATAATATTTAATTTAATGGATGTATGTGTCAGTTGTTTGTTAAGCTTTCTCAGTTTTTTTTTTACTTTTATGAAACCTAAAGAATTATTGAAAATAAAAAAAAGATATGCTAGGGGTACACCAAATGTGTACTCCAAATGTACACCACTTGCTTTTACACCATTCATTTTATTTTCTTTTTATTTTTTACTTTTTTGAAATTTTCTTACCTTTTTAGTGTGGTGATGGAGGGGGTGGGGGATGTTTGGGGTACACTTTTGGTGTACCCCTAGTATTTTCCATAAAAAAAATTATGGTTAAAGTATGTTTAGAGGAAAGAACATTTTTTTGTGAACAACATGATCTAGCTATAAGTGGAAATAAAATAAATAAAATTTAGACATTTTTAATTTTTTTTAAAAAAATTTACATAGATAATGAATACTCTATGTGACTTGAATTGATCTTATCACATTCTAAGGTTCGGACAAAAATAATTTTTACATTTCTATACTTTTTAATAGGGTGAAGAATTTATGCTCTATAATCTCTTTTTTTCTAAACAAATTTTAACAATTATAATCTAATTTTTCCACTTTTTTTAAAATTTCATGAAATCAAATCAAATTAGGATGATTAATTCGAAAAATGGAGTAAATAAAATGATAAAAAAATAAGTCAAACATGTACACTAAAAAATGAATGAAACAGGGCAAGTATTTGATTGACCACAAGACCAGCCGCCAAGGCGCCAAACGGCAGCCGCCCCATCATATCTATAAATACCTTCCTTTCCGTTTCTTTCTTCCTCGCTCAAATCCGACGATCAAACGCCTCAGAGCCATTGAAATTTGAAGGAAATCGTCGTCGGATTTGCAGGAATGGACGTTCGCCGGCGATCAAGCAAGCCCTGTTGCTCCGGAAATTCCCTCGACGCCGGCGAGCCCCTCAAACCCCACAAACAGCACTCCCCCAATGGTTCCGACGCCGTCGCCTTCTCCCTGTACCTCGCGAATGGAGTCTTCTTCACCATGTTCTTCTCTGTGATGTACTTCCTCCTTCAGCGATGGCGGGAGAAGATCCGCAACTCCACTCCGTTGCACGTGGTGAGCCTGTCCGAACTCGTGGCCTTGTTAGGGTTGTTCGTGTCCGCCGTTTACCTTCTAGGGTTCTTCGGAATCGGATTCGTCCACTCGTTTATCTTTAAGGGGAACCAGGATCTATGGGATGTGGAAGACGAGAGCGATGAGAAATTCATCTTGGAAGATGACAGCCGCAGTGGGAAATGGCCCGCAGCCACTACTCTTGGCTGCTCGGTCCCTGCACCACCTGCTCGAAAAATTGCCGCAGTGGTTCCCCAGCATCCGGCCAAGGTGGAGATGATGGATTATGAGAAACCTGCTCCTGTGATCACATCTGAGGATGACGAGGAGATCGTCAAGTCAGTTGTGGAGGGGAAAACACCTTCCTACTCATTGGAATCAAAGCTTGGAGACTGCAAGCGGGCTGCTTCAATTCGGCGCCAGGCGTTGCAGAGGATCACTGGGAAGTCACTGGAAGGTCTTCCACTTGAAGGGTTCAATTACGAGACCATTCTTGGGCAGTGCTGCGAGATGCCGGTGGGGTACGTGCAAATCCCAGTGGGAATTGCTGGGCCATTGTTTCTTGATGGGAGGGAATACTCTGTCCCAATGGCCACCACTGAAGGGTGCCTGGTTGCTAGCACCAATAGAGGTTGCAAGGCCATTGCTGCTTCCGGCGGTGCCTTCAGTGTGCTTCTCAGAGATGGGATGACTAGGGCTCCTGTTATGAGGTTTGGCACTGCCAAGAGGGCTGCAGAGTTGAAGTTCTTCGTCGAGGATCCTGAAAATTTTGAGACTATTTCTGCAATCTTTAACAAGTAAGTCTGCCTGTGGATCACTTTTGATACCTATAAAAAACAATCCCTATTTTCATTTTGTACATTTTACCATGCTTCTTTATCGTTGATTTGTTTTCTCGTTGGTTAGTAATGTTGGGCCTGAAAGCCGTACCCACAGGATATAAGTGTTGAATGAAAAGATTTAACCAAACAGGTTTAGGAGAAGAGAAAATGAACACAAACTATTTTAAGAGGACCAACGTAACTGGTGTAGGAGAATGGTAATATCACACTAAGAAAATGGAGTATTATACAAATTTGGTGTATACACTTATCCAAGATTCTTAACAATTGACAGTGTAGTTATTGTAAGTTGCTTAATTGATGTTGTTTCATGCCTGCAGATCAAGCAGATTTGCCAGATTGCAAAGCATTCAATGTGCAATTGCTGGGAAGAATCTTTATATGAGGTTCAGCTGCAGTACCGGGGATGCGATGGGTATGAACATGGTCTCCAAGGGGGTGCAAAACGTGCTTGATTTTCTTCAGATTGAATACCCTGACATGGATGTCCTTGGTATATCTGGTATGCCACTTTGTTCTTATTTATTTATCAAGCTTGAACACTTTTCTTTGTTCTATTTTATGTGTTTGTATATCAAATCTTTACATGAAAACTGTTTTTTCCTTCAATTTACCCTGCGTATACTATTCAATTTGCTCATGTCCAAATAGAACATTAACGAGAGTGTCACTTAACGATGATACTTTACACAAAGTACGAATCTTTATGATTAATTTATAATCCCAATACTCTTTCTTAAATGTTGTGGTCTGGTCAACCTAAACTGATAAATCAGAGAAAGTGCCTCACTCGTTGTAAAGAACAATGCAACATTGTTGAAAGACTTGGGAAGAAATATTAGTTGTTGAAAAAATTATGTATATACCCTAAGTTTGTACTTCACAATTCCCATTACTTGATGAGTATGATATGGTTTACTTATCCATGGGAGTTGATTAAACAGGAAACTTTTGCTCGGACAAGAAACCCGCAGCAGTGAACTGGATTGAGGGGAGAGGCAAGTCAGTTGTTTGTGAAGCAATTATAAAGGAAGATGTGGTGAAGAAAGTGTTGAAGACTAATGTAGCTTCCCTGGTGGAGTTAAACATGCTAAAAAACCTGACTGGTTCAGCCATGGCTGGTGCTCTTGGCGGCTTCAATGCTCATGCAAGCAATATTGTCTCTGCTGTATACCTAGCCACCGGCCAGGACCCAGCTCAGAATGTGGAGAGCTCTCACTGCATCACCATGATGGAACCAGTCAATGATGGCAAGGACCTCCACGTCTCCGTGACCATGCCTTCCATTGAGGTACACACTTTTCTTTTGCTCATTTATGTTTCCTTCATAAATCTCGTGTACACCGATGAGTAGTGACTGTGATACACTTTTAGCAATAACAGTTAGTGAATAACTAACTGATAATGTGTTCATTCCCAATGGAGCCAAAAGATTCTTTAACCCATAAAAAACCATCTGATATGCAGGCTATTAGAGTAAACATGTTATTATATCCAGACGCTCATATATTTATACGTTCACTATGTTCAGGTCGGAACAGTCGGTGGGGGGACACAGCTTGCATCTCAAGCAGCCTGCTTGAACCTACTTGGAGTGAAGGGAGCCAACAGGGAGTCTCCTGGCTCAAACGCAAGGCTTTTGGCAACCATTGTAGCCGGTTCAGTTCTTGCAGGGGAACTCTCCCTTATGTCCGCCATTGCAGCCGGGCAGCTGGTGAATAGCCACATGAAGTACAACCGCTCCAACAAGGATGTCGCCAAGCTTCTGCCTTGACTGGGGGGTTGCAGTCAACCACTCCGGCGATTGCCATTCATCGTCGCATAACTGTGTTGTGTGTGTGATTGAATAATGAATGGAATGTTCTTATTGTAATAAACTTGCTATGTACCAATGAGAGTTCACATATATGTTTTACTTTTATGTTTGCTTGTGTTCTTCACATTTTCAGTGTTTTGTGTATATGCTCATGTCAATGATGACTAAAAAATTGTGTGGCTTAAAAGTCTTGAATTATCATGATATAAGAAAATCAAAACAGAGCAAATGTTGTCTTTGAATGTGATTATTCAATCATATGCCTTATTTAAGCCGTCATTTACCATCTGATTTTGCTTTATTTCTACCCCTAAATTCAGCCATGTGGTGTAGAAATGAACCAAGACTTCATGTCGAAAGAAATAGACAAGTGCTATCTTTGCCTCACACTTCTGTTTCTATGTTCAATTTTGAATTTTCATTGAGAACTAGTAAAAATCATCATACATAGTTATACATAATATTTATTATTTGTTACGTAAAAAATTCATCAACTCCGGCTCCATCTTATAAAAATGTTTCAGATAACTATTTATATACTAAAACTATATATTCTTTTACTCCATCACATATTTTTATTGATTATTTAACAAAATAAAACAGTAATGTCACTTCTTATTTGTAAGAATATATGCTTTTTTTCAATATATAAGTTTTATATTTTGATTATACAACAATTTTTATATAAATGAAATTGAAATAAATTTAATCCATTATCATAAATTGAAGTTGGATTCTTTTAGCAGGAGTATATTTAATTTCTTTGGGGCAGTTTCATTTTGCCTAAAAAGTAGGCAACACCACATATATGAGTAGGAGAGATACTAATCACAAACAAAACAATCACAAAATTTTCAAATTTACTATGTGTGATTATCACTAATGCATTGCTTGGATAAAGAGAGAAAATGGAAGTAAAGGAAATGGGTCGAAAGAAAATAGAGAGATGAGAAAATGGGGAGAAAACGATTGTTGTTTGGATAGGTAAAAAATGAAGAGGAAATGTAAGGAAAGAAAAAAATGATAAAACAAAAATACACTTTTGCCCTAACACTACACAAAAAGTTATATTAAAAAATTACACTACAAATTTTATGAAATAAAAGCAACTTGACTTTTTCATTTTATATAAAAATTGATGAAAGTATATTTGGAAAGATAGAATAAAGCCAGACTTTAACAATATACAAATAACAAAAATCTTCCAACAATTACAAATGCCACCAAACATTAATACTTTTTACAGATAATAGAGCACGACACACAACTCCACATTTCATACAAAATATATAGTCCTTTCTCATATCCTAAAACAAATACATCTACCAAAAGCACGCTACACCAGCGAGGTCAAAGAGAGAAATAGACAATACTACACCACACTAGAGATCGCAATGGAAGATGGAATAATAATGATCCCCATTATAGGTAGCCATGAGATCAAAAACAGCGCGGAACAAGATGCAGCAAAACAAGCAATAACACTTCTGAAAGATGAATTTGGCTACACAGTCATGAGTCTCAATTTGTAGTCGATAACTACTACGATACAACAACAACATATTGTGGAACTAAACAATGCACTAATAAGGTAAAAACTATATATCATTTGGTAGCATTATTTATGCCTTATTAGTGCATTGTTTAGTTCCATAATCTGTTGTTGTATAGTTCTTGTTATCAGCTACAAATTAAATTGAGACTCATGATTCTTTAGCTAAATCCATCTCTCAGAAGTGCTATTACTTGTTTTGCTTCATCTTATTCTACACCATTTTTGATCTCATGGCGCAGCTACCTATAATGGGGATCATTATTATTCCATCTTCCATTGCAATCTCTAGTGTGGTGTAGTATTGTTTATTTCTCTCTTTGACCTCGTGGCTACCTATAATGGGGATCATTATTATTCTATCTTACTGCATGTTTTAGTTCCACAATTTGTTGTTTTATAGTTATAGTTATCGGCTACAAAATGAGACCCATGATTGTGTAGTCAAATCCATCTCTCAGAAGTGCTATTATTGATTGTTTTGTTGCATCTTGTTCAGCGCCGTTTTTGATCTCATGGCTACCTATAATGGGGATCATTATTATGCCATCTTCCATTGCGATCTCTAGTGCGGTGTAGTATTGTTTATTTCTCCCTTTTACCTCGCTGGTGTACCGTACTTTTGGTAGATGTAGTTGTTTTAGGATATGAGATAGGATGGTTTTGTATGAGATGTGGAGCTTTTGTGTGTCGTGCTCTATTATCTACAAAAAATAATAATGTTTGGTGGCATTTTTAATTGTTGGAATATTTTTGTGATTAGTATATTGTTAAATTCTAGGGTATGTGTATTTTTGTCTGTATTTATATGTTTGTGTTGTTCATAAAACATTGTAACTTGCAATGTGTTGCTTAATTAAATGTTACTTTTAGAAGCACATAATTCATATGTCTCGGCATAGTTCCACAGTTTGGGTGTTTTGTAGCTATAATTGATAATTTTGAATGTAATTTATTTTATAAATAATGTTTAACAATATAAGCATATAATACCTTTTGTCCTGATTTATTTATGCACTTTGGTTGGTATGGAGCTATAATTGATATATTTTGATAATTTTTAAATTGTAAATAATGTTTAATTTTTTAAAATAATGTTATAATTTGTTTTTATTTATAGGTTATAATTTTTTTATTTGAGGATATTTTTTGTAATGGATTTAATTGTTTTATGTAAGTAGTTCAATATAATTATTTATTATTCCATTAAAATTGTTGTCCTTCTTTTATTTCATTTTGTCTTAGCCTCCTTCGATCAGCACCAGAGACATCAAAATGTTTTCATCACTTCAAAAAGAAAAATGCAGGCACAATATTGTTCAGAATTCAAATCTCCAGCCTTTCGGTGATATTTCCATGTGTTATAAGTGTTCTTTCTTGATATTTTACTCCTTATTCTTATTCTCCCATTTTTGTGCAATTATAATGCCAAAAAAATTTCATAGTTATAATTTTATGGTTGATAATCTCAAAAATTATGAAGAAACAAAGTTGTAAATATTGAGGTCAGGATCCCTGCATATTCCTCAATGTCAGTTTGAGATTCAGGGTTGTTTCCAAATTTTATGTGCAATTCTACATTCAATTCATATATTCGTGTATTTAGATTCTGGACTATCGAATTCCATACCTATTACATATTCCGGGCTCTCGATTTTCCCAATTTTTTTGGTAAATTCTTTTATTAGTAACCGTGGCTTGATTAAGTGCGAGATTACATGCCTAATTTTATGTTTTGTATTTCTCCTATCTATGTTTCGGTGGCAAGAGGAACTAAGCAGAGCTATGAATTCACTTGGATTTTGATACGAATATCGTATCGGATAGGGAAGAACTTCGAGCGTTCTTCAAGCTCCAAAAAGAAGAGGTAGAGAAAGATGGAAAACTTTGAGCGTTTCCGAACTCTAAGAAAAGAGAGACGAGAGATTAAGATAATTCTTGATTATTGATTGATTGAGTAAAAGGATTACATCGCTATTTACAGGAGATAGAGAAACTCTAATGCTAACCCTAATTGACCTAATGGGCTCGGGCCCATACTAAAACCCTCAACAACATTAACTATTGAATATTAAATAACTACTAATTAATAAATAATATAACCAACTTACTATCCCTATCAGATTTAGTGATCGATGGAGATGTTACAATATATCTCCCCTATAAATATCTAGGTTTTGAAGTTTTTTGCATGTTCACTTGAAGTATTGTCCTATGCTTCCCTTTCTTTATATAGAGATATTACTGAGCAATAGATTTGGTAGAATTTTTTAAACATTTGAGTCTTGGCTATCAAGGAGAGACCTAATCTTTACATCTCCATATATTTGGGAAGAGTCTCAAATGAAGATGCAGTGCAAACTATCTTCGTACCAGGTTACCGAGCATTACATTGCACAAGAGCATTTGTAAATTTATGCATAGCCTTGCTAAGTTCTTGCTTAGCACATGAAAATACTTCAATTATTATCTTGCTTGGAGTAGGATACATATAAGAAATAGGAGTATTTTCGAAATATGAGTTAAAATGCATTTACAGTACCAAACGTGGTCATGTACATTATCAAAAAGTCTATCAATGTGCACGTGTACATTGCCACATTACCTCCACATTACCACAGTGTGAACCCTATATTGGGAATAAAAACATAGATGTCTTATTTTAGTACTTTTTTATGTTTTAATCTTATTCAGAGTGATTTCTAAAAAAAATCTTGATTGATTAGAAAAAAGTGAAAAAATGATTGATGTGTTTAACTTTTTTTATGTTTTAATCTTATGTTTAACTAGTTTGAACATAATATTTGAAAAAATATATTTAGTTATTATATAAATTTAAAATCAATGTATTCATTTGATTTAAAGTTTTAAAATGTCAAAGGAAGAAATCACTAAGGAGAAAGAATTCACTTTGGAAACCATGAAAAAGTAAAGAGGAAGAAAACAAAGAGACGGATGAAGTATCCATACTTAAATTTTTAGTTTTTTAAAATTTCATTTTTAATTGTTATTTAAAAAAATAAATTTGAAATTATATAATTTAAATTATTTTTAATTAATATATGGTTTTTATTTTTTTGTTTTTTTTGTTTTTTTGATTTTTAATTTTTAATTTTTAATTTTATAATTAAAATTTTGAATTTTGAAATTTAAATTTTAAATTTTAAAGTTTAAAGTTTAAACTTTAGATTTTAAACTTTAAATTTTAAATTTTAAATTTTAAACATTAAATTTTAAACTTTAAATTTTTGATTTTAAACTTTAAGTTTTTAATTTTATATTTTATATTTTATATCTTATATTTTATATTTTATATTTTATATTTTATATTTTATAATTTATATTTTATATTTTATATTTTATATTTTATATTTTATATTTTATATTTTATATTTTATATTTTATATTTTATATTTTATATTTTATATTTTATATTTTATATTTTATATTTTATATTTTATATTTTATATTTTATATTTTATATTTTATATTTTATATTTTATATTTTATATTTTATATTTTATATTTTATATATTATATTTTATATATTATATTTTATATTTTATATTTTATATTTTTTATTTTATATTTTATATTTCACATTTTA